GTTTTGGAGCAGCTCCTCACAGGGCCCAGGGCCAGCCTCACCAAGCAGCCTGAGGACACATCAAACACGTGCCTGGGGGGCACTGCAGGGCCCCTGGGCACGGGGGGCAAACCCCAGCCCCGGGGTGGCAGCGTGTTGCCATCGCCAGCTGATCGCTCCGACGGCTTTGCAATGATGCTCTTTCTCTGCTTCCAGGACCCCTGAGAAAAACCCTGGTGCTACAGAGCAAGAGCCAAGTACCTTGGTGCAGGACCAACCCTCGTGAGGTCGGGGACTCCTCCGAGCAGCCTCTGGAGCACACGGATAGTCTGCATGGAATGTGTGTGACCTGGCCTGGCCTCCAATAGAGCCGACGAGCAGAGCTCAGTGACACCTCCTCCTGTCTCTCAAGCACGTGGAGTTATGTCACCAGGAGCTGTGTGATGAAGTTTAGCATGTCTGTGCCTTGATGTAAGTACAGTAAAGTCAGAGAAAGAAAAATGGGTCCAGTTCTCCCTTTATTTATTCGTAGCTGTGAAACAGCACTCGGGTCTCTTACCAGTATCCATTCTAAATCTACTCCTTCAGTTTGTACCCACTCCCCCTTGGCCTGTCACTCCAGTTCCTGTTGAACAGCCCCTCTCTGGTTTCCCTGGAGCCCCTTCAGAACCTGGAGGGTGCTGTGAGGTCTCCACAGAACCTTCTCCTCTGCAGGGTGAACAGTCCCAACTTTCTCAGCCTGTGCTCCAGTCCCCTTACCAAGTGCTGGACAAGACACCAAAACTTGCTGGCCAAATCAGTGTTTCTTATCAGCATATTTTCTAAAAAAGTGTTTAACTGAAAAATTGTGAAGTACCAGCTGGAATTGCCATAGGAAGAGTTTAGATGTCTCATGGTTGTTGGGTATGCCCAGATTCTCTGGGTGAGGCTCCCTAATGTCCAGGAGGTTGGACTTGATGCTCTTGAAGGTCTTTTCCAACCTTGATGATCCTATGATTCTACAGGATGCATGTGGCACATGGTGGGGGGTGCAGCCCATCCCCTCCAGAGGGCATGGAGCCCCCAGGCTGCAATTCCAGCAAGGCACTGGCCCAGCACACTCCAGGAAACACCTCCAGGCTTGGCCTGAAGTGTTATAACACTCAGAGCTGGGATTAGGTTTATTTTCCTTAAAGCCCTGACTTTGAGCAGAAGCTTAACCCTGCTTTTCCTTCCCAAATGAGTTATGCAGGGAGGTGGGGAGGGCTGTGCAGTGTCCATGGAGTGTGGCAGCTCCAGAGGGTCTGGTTTGCTGGGTCTAGTTCATAAGAAAACTGCCTTGGGGTGGGAGAAGTCATCCAAGTATTTCAAAGTGAAAATGTGAGTCCATAACACACCTCCTCCTCCAAAGTACTCCTCCCACACAGCCCCCTGTTCTGTGCAGGAGTTATTCCAGATGGCTGGACCACCTTTAGAAGGAGTGGATGATTTAGGAGATCCAATCTCCTTCTCTTGCACTGGTCACTTCTATTTATCCCATGATGGTCAGATCCCAAGAGCTGTACAAACATGGGACAGAGACACCCACCCAGAAGGACCTGGAAGGAAAACCAGGAACCTAAAACTGCCTCAAAGCTCCCGATGTTCACATTGTGGTGAATCCCCTCCGGTAACAGGGAGGTTGGAAAGAACCTCCTTGTTGAAGGGATAAAACACAGAGGAATATTTGTCAGGATGTGGCTTGTACAAGGCAAGAAGGAATTGGAGTAAATCCAACCACTGAACCATTGCAAAGCACCTCTGAGAAGATGTGAATAGTGACTAATGAACTCCCCAACACAAAGGCTGGAGATTACATGCCTGGGAATAATTGCCTGGCTCGGTAGCTGAAGGGTCCATGATTAAGTAATTAACTTTTTTTCGGTATATAATTACAATGATTGCACAGTTATTAGAGAGGAGACCAGTCCAAAGCTCCAGTGCCGGTTGGTTGCCTGCAGGAGGTTTTGCTCCAGTTCCCTGGAGCTGCTGGTGTCCCAGGAAAGCAGGACCTGGCTGTTGCTCTCAGGGCCCATCATTTGTCTCTGAATCAGAGGTGCCCACCATAGATCCAGTCAGCCAAGGATCTTATCTGTGCACAATTCTTTGCAGTAACCCAGACATCCATGGTGGAATATTTAGGAAAAAAGGATCGTTTTCCCACCAGTGTCTGATTTTCAGGGAGGCGGCTCAAAAGCCCACCCAAACATTCACCAAATACAGACATTTTTTCTGCCTCTTCAGCTCCCTGAAGGTGAGAGCAGGAACAAGGGGCCACCAGCTTTCATTTCACCAGTGGAAGATGTAGGGAAACATGTCTGAAGTAGGAAGGGGAAATTTCACAGAGGTAGGTTTTGAAGCAGCAGAATTGATTTAAGTGGTGGTCCAGATCAAGGCAGAACAAAACATTTGTGTAACCCATAAGTAGCCACACGTTTTCCCACCAGACTGGGCACAATATTTCAGGCAAACCAAAAACCAAAAAATTCATTTTGCCACAAGCTGGAATATTTACTGTTTATTATGAAAACACAACGATTTCTGTGTCCTGGCAGATTCTGTTTCCATTGCTGATATTTCTCTCCCCTTCCTCCTGGTTTAACTGCTCTCCTCAGGCTCCTGCTTCCTTCCATTTCTTGTTCCATTTAGCTTTTCTTTCCCTACATAATCTGTCCTACTCAGGGTCCTCCTACTCTCAGAATTAATCGAGTTACTCAGTGCACTGCCCAGATAATTTCCTGCCGTGCTTTTCTTTTCGAGATTGCAAAGTCTTTGCAGCTGGGTCCTTCCCTAATTTTGTGCCCTGCTCAAAAATCTTGGTCTTATCCTGGGGTATTACTGTAATAGACATGATTAATAGGAATTATCCTCCCACCAGCAAGCTTAATTCCGTGCTGCTGAATTTTGCATGCCGGCTTTTATCATCCTTCCAGCCTCAGCAGAGCTTTGTGGCAGTGGTGCAAATGTGCAAGGCTGAGGGAGAGGAGGGAATCCCCCAAGCAAGAAAAACCAAGGCTGAAACGGGAGCAACAGAGGAGACCAGAAATTTAGGGCAAGGAAATTATAAATTAATGCGATGGAGGGAAATAAAGGCAGGAGGCAAAGTTTGCTGTTCCCCCCTCCAGGAGCTGGGTGATAACACTGGTGAAGGGAGGATATATTCTCTGGAGAAGAGGAGCACAGGGCTGGAAAAGAAGACTGAAGTGCTCAGCAGAGTGTTTCAGGCTGGATGTCACCTTTTGCAGGCCCCAGGTTTCACAGCTCTGAGGACATGGGCTGATTTTTTGGGGAGAAGCCTTGACCAGGGGTGAGGAGATAAAGTTCACAGGAGATGCTTTGTCCCCCAGCAGCACTGGGAGCACGGGCAGGGATTAATGCTGCAAAGCTCCTTATCTGATGGGATATTTCCATTTAATGAGGCAGCACTGGAGGAGCTCAGTGGGTGGAGGGAGCTCCCAGACACATCCATCCAAGACCAGGGCAGGACCCAGGGGGGATTCATTAGGATTTGAGGCCCATCTGTGGTGTAAAGTGGCCAAAACTGCTGGAATTGTTGAATCTGCCCTTCTGCTTATGAGTTACATCCTCAGAAGGTGCAAATGCCCACAACTGGACGGACTCCTCGCTGATTTACACCACCCAAGGTCTGTCCAACTTTTTCACACGTGAATAACATGTTGGGCTGGGTTGATTCCCCCCCACCCAGGCAGTGATTCCTAGATGGCTTGTGCTCCCTTGTTTCCTCGAGGCTGTTATAAATCCTGCCCTGAATTATTTAACCCCCATTCACTCCCCCTTTCCTCCATTGTCTTTTCTCTTTTGTTCCCCTTGCCTTGGTGTGTTTATCTCCCGCTCTGTCATTCCAGTCACTTCATTTCTCCCTTTACCCTCATGCATCTTTCATAGTTTACCCTCTTTTGCTCTGGCAAGGGGCAGGTTTTCCTATCTGGTGGCAGCCAGTTTTTGTGACATATCTGGGTTACTGTCAGGACTCCTTCCCCGTGTAAAATGTCTTTCATTTTTCATGACTCTGCTTTAATAATTTATCCCCCATCAAAGATGAAATCACCGTCCTGAAATGGCTTTTCCGTGTTGAGGTAATGGAACAGGGATGGGCTGGAAGGTGTCATTCCCATCTGGTGTTTTGGTGCAAGATAAGCCACGAGTTTCAGGGGAAGGAGAAAGCTGAGAAGACGCTGCTGTTTGGGGTCTGGATTAGAAGAGAAAGGAATGGACCCACATTTTGCAGTGGGAAAAAATCAAGTGCCTAAAAAGAAAAAGCAAAACTCCCCCATCCTGCCCAGTCTGTAGCAGGAGGTGTGTCTGTGTTTGCTTCATGTTTTTGGAACAGTTGCATAAGGAGGAAAACGTGATATGTGGGCAACCCTGCTCGTGGTTCAGCCTTCCAGTGACACAGAAACCAAAGCAGGTCAGTGGGTCTGCAGGAATAGGGAGATCCTGCAATCCCACCCACGCTGATGTGCTCGGGTGATCCCTGTCTGAGCAGGCTCTGGAGCCAAGGCTTTTCCACCTTTCCCAGTTCTCCCCAGAACAGAGCTCAGAGTTCATCCTCCTTGTCCAACAGGGCATCATCCTGATTTAATATCCCAGGACATGGGGAATTCACCCCTTCCCTCACAAAGCTCTTCTCCCTTGGCACTTAAATATTCATTGCTTTATTATGCCTGATAATAAACAGCCCCACTGAAGCTTCAGGAGCTTCTCTTGATGGCAATGGTTTCCTTTTCTGCAGGATTTCACCATTCTCTCTTCCCCAGAAGGTGGCACTTATTGCCTGCTCTCAGTTCCCCCAAAGCCTATTCAGACCCTTCTTCCCTATCTTCTCCCCAGTCATGATGCGTTTTTCTTTGCAGCATTCAGCTTCTCTCATCCATTTTCTCTCCTCCTCTGCCACTGTGCATAATAGAGGATACAGGATTTCCTTTTTGCCCTTGTTTTAGTGGTTTTTAGCGTCCTTTTTGCCTTTGTTTTAGTGTTTTTGATTGTGGACAGCCCTCTCTGTGCAACAAACCAAGATATTTAGGATATCTCACTGGCTGAACAGCTCCTAGAATCATCCACATTTTTTTAGGCTGAATTTTCCCTCTCGGTTCATCTCGTCTACGTTGTTCCTCCGTGTGGAGAAAAGACACATCTTGAACAGTTCATTGCCAAGCCAGGGAGGAAAAAAAGGCAACTTGTCTGAATCCAGAAGGGTAAATGTAGCGTTATTAATGCGCTTAAAAATATATGAGTCGCAATTTTTAACTCTGAGCCTTTGGTCACCCGGTAAGATGTGGTTTGGATTTCATTTTAGTGCTGATGTGGAGCAAAGCCAAGAGGTCATCTGTGCAGGAGGAACTCCCTTTTTTGGACGAGCTGCTCAGCTCCTGAGCTGTTTTCAGCAGGGAGGTCTGGCCAGCACAGGGGGATGTTTCAGAAACACCAGGTGACTGATCTGGTTGGAAAAACCATCCTGCCACATCTAATCATGACGAGCAAACACAGGCTGAGGGGGGAGCAGCTGGTGCCATCTCCAGGGCTTACAAGGAGCTCTGTAAACAGTGCACTTGGAAATGAACCTTCGCCTCAGGCAGGGTTTTAAACAGGCCCTGCTCATGCCACAAATTATGTACCCATTTGGAATTATGAAATGGTTATTATAGTACTCTGGGTGTATTCCTCCACAGCCATCCTTTTGTTTTAATTGAGCATTCCTGCTAACGTACTGAAAGGGAAAAGGAGAAGTTTCAGGCCATTTATTTAACCATGCAGCTTTATTTCAAGTACCAAACACAAAAGAATTCAGGCTAACAGGATTGCCATATGGTAAAAATGATTATCAATATAAAATCACAAAGGATTCTAAAAAAAGTTACTGATCAACTGGTTGATCATTCACTTCTTGTGAATATGTCATTCATTGATACAACAGCCTGGTCTCAGCTGGGATAGATGTTCCCAGGACAGCTGGGTGCCTCCTAAAGGATTTCTCTGTCCCCAAAGAATTCTACAGCTGATCAGTTGTATTCAATGGAAAATGACACCTCTGTTTACAAATAGAATGGAATATTTACAAATAGTCAGGAACAACCACAACAGTTCTTATCCTGGAGGAAGTCTTCAAAATACTATTTGTGTGTTTACCTTCCTCTCACCTAATACAAATGCACGTGTAGAGAAACGTGGTTTCATAAATGTTGATTATAGAAATAGACACGGAATTACCAAATATTGATTTTAGAAATAGATTCACCACCGTTACAGGTAAGTGCTGGTCCACAGGAATCTCACACATACAAAAAACAAAGCAGTGTTTCGGTGGCAGAGACCTTGTGGAGAAGCTGCTCTTGGTGTGATGTTTCAGGTTTGCACCACAACAACCCATTCCAACAGTTGCAAACATCCCACAGCTGGAGGATGAGTGTGCCTCTCCACGCAGCTCTCCTGGATCCCCCTTCTGGGAGTGACTCCACGTGCTCAGAGCAGCAGCCCGGAGTGAACAAGTCCTTGGGTGGGGGTTTCCCACTTGATCTTTTCAAATAGTTGAGCAACTCTCCCATCAGTCTTTCCTCTCTCTCCCAAGTTCAGTTCAGTCCTCGAATCACCCTGGGCTGTTCCCCTTGGAGACCTGCCCTGGCTGTGATCCCCGCACTCCTAACGAGGGACCCCAAACCCCTGCACACCTTGGGGGTGACCCCAGCCCCCTGCACCACCTGGGACAGACCCTGACGCCCTGCCCGCCTTACAGGGGTCCCCAAACCCCCCTGTGAGCCCCCCACACCGCCCAGGCTGTGCTCCCACACTGACCCACTCCAGCTGTTTGACCAGCCCTGCAAAAACGCTGCACCCACAGAGACCGGAATCACTGGAGAAATTCCAGAAATAAGCACCCTGTCAGTTTAGATGGAATCTGCACTGGGAATGTTAACCCTGATCCTTGGCTCCTGCCTGCTCCACACATGCCAGGGGAACACTGGGGATGCAGGGTGTCTGGAGAAGGGAGGATCCCTGGGAGTGTCCCAGGGTCCCCTGTGGGTGCCCCAAATGTTGAGGGCACTGCCCTGGGTGGCCCCAGGAGCCCCTCTGGAGCCACACTGTCCCCACCAGAGCCGGGCCCAAGGCCCCTGGGCATCCCCCACCCACAGTCAGAGCAGGGTCCCTCCTCCCCAGCCCACCCCAGGGTTCCACAGCACAGGCTCAGAGCTCGGCATCCTTCGGGCACTTTTATCTTGGAACAGCAAAACGGGCGCTCCAGGGCTGGGAGGGATGCGGAGGCTTCGGAGGGAGATCGGGGCTGCCACGGCTCTGGGGTCTGACAGGGGCTCGGAGGGCACTGAGGGCCTATGAGTCCTATGGGGCCTTAGGGGGGCTATGGGGTCTATGAGTCCTATGGGGCCTTAGGGGGGCTCTGAGGGTTATGGGGGCTTTGAGAGCTATGGGGACTGTTGGGGCTATGGGGCCTATGGGAGTCTATGGGGCCTATGGGGGTCTATGGGGCCTAGGGGGGGTCTATGAAGCCTATGGGGTCTATGGGGCTTATGGGGCCTATGGGGGTCTATGGGGACTATGAAGCCTATGGGGCCTATGGGGGTATGGGGTCTATGGGGCCTATGGGGGTCTATGGGGACTATGAAGCCTATGGGGCCAATGGGGCCTATGGGGGTCTATGGGGCCTATGGGGGTATGGGGTCTATGGGGTCTATGGGAGTCTATGGTGCCTATGGGGGTCTGTGGGTCCTATGGGGTCTATGGGGTCTATGGGGGTCTATGAGGCCTATGGGGGGTCTATGGGGTCTATGGGGCTATGTGGCCTATGGGGGTATGGGGTCTATGGGAGTCTATGGGGCCTATGGGGGTATGGGGTCTATGGGGCCTATGGGGTTCTATGGGGCCTATGGGGGCTGTGCGGGGCCTTGGGATGCAGCGGAGGGACTGGGCTGAGGGATCTCGTCTGCAGCCGGTGACATTCCCTCACTCGTCCTGCTGCTCCGAGCTGCTGCGAAAGAACAGCAAGGGAATAACCATTAAGGAAACAGCATCCAAGGAAAGGCCTGGCCCAGCCTGTGTAGAACAAGGGCTGCAGAACGAGGGCGGGTGTCTCTGCCATCCCACTCACTTCTCCGACGCCGCTTCGGCTTCTGCATCGTCCCGTCTCTGCCTGTGCCAGTCGTACAGCCGGAGCGCCCGGGCGTCCTCCTCCATGAGGAGCATCACCTTCTCCTCAAACTTTTGGAATTCACCGGGGCCCTGTGTGGGACCACCGGCGTCGGGAACGCTCTGGAGAGCTAAGGGACAGCAGGCAGAGGGGCGGCCCTGGCGCACGTTCCTCGCCCGCTCTTCGCCCTCTCCGCCAAACGCACAGCTGAGCATGTCCCTGAGTTCTCCGCATCGCAGCTTCTCAAGGAATCTGACAAAAAAATAAAGCAGGAAAATAGCCAGGTTTGGCCAGAGGGAGGGCTGCACGGGTGTCCCAGAGGGAAGGGATGGCGCTGGCTGCCGTGGCTGGCAACGAGCCCTCGATGGGAAAGGCATGTGGAGAGGACGGGAGTGGGGCAGGCAGAAATGGGCAGAGCCATCACCAGAGGAGAGTTTTGCTGGGAACTGGAGCCCAGAGCTATTTCCTCGTGGTCACAGGGATGTGGGACCACCCCAGAAGCCCAAGACCTACCCCTCAGCACTGGGTTGGGATGGGATCCTATGGCCATGCTCATCGCTCTGGGGTCCCTTTCCTGGGTCTCTCCCAAAGCAAAATGTGTTAAACACAGACTGGTGGGTGTCTGGCACTAGGGTAGCTGGGGGGCTCGGGGAGGAGCTGCTGTTCAGAGTGGAGATGGCTCTTGGCACAGCAGGGGCACGGGGCAGGGAGCAGGTACCTGCTCAGAGGGGATTTCACAGTGTCCTCCCAAACATCCTCAGGACTTTCCCAGCAGTGAGTCTGGGGAAGAAGAGACACTTGGAACATCACAGTTGGCTTGTGTTTCTCTGCAGAGCAAGGGAGGACAAAAGGTTCTTCCTCCCACCCACCCTGCTCTATACACGTGCAAGTCTGTGAAAACAGCCACGTTTTTAGAGAGTCCTCCCCTCCCCATTTCCTGCTTTTCCCTGCCTCTGGAACGACCTGGGTTCCCAGAGCTCTCCTGTTAGCACTGCTGCAAGGCTGAAGGCAGGAGAGCAAAGCAGAGCTGTGCACAGTTGGCACAGAGGGCAGGACAAGCCCCCTCCAAGCAGGCTGAAGCCTGCAGAGCCAGGGGATGTGGAGCTGCCACGAGCTCCAGGGGTGCACAAACATCTCCGGTGCTCCCCAGCAGGAGCACAGGCATCCACATCCCCCTGGGGCTCAGCTGGGCGCCACCAGGCCTGACTGACAGCTGGCAAGGGAGGTTGTGGCTTACTTGGACTAAATATAACATGATCATGATGAGGACGAAGATGATGGCGAAGATCATGATGACAACAAACACCAATAGCCTGGTGACTATGGTTGCGGAGTGGTTGAGCCCTGCATTCTGCTGGGAGAGGAGGAGAGCAAATCAGGAGGGGAGAGAGGCTCTCTCCTTCCACTACCCCTTGCCCAGAGGGGCACACGCAGCAGTGCCCGGGAGCTCTCCTACCTTTCCTGCGGACTCCTTGCCCATCTCCAAGGCCAGGCGCAGACACTGCCGTGTGAGAGCAGAGATTTCCTGGCTGTCCTGCCTCGGGCTGAGCCTCTTTGCCAGCAGCCCAGCCCTGGAGACCATCCTGGCACAGGGCAGCTGCAGGTCGGGCCGGCTGCACTCGGCGCTCAGGGCTCCTGTCACGCGGGCGATGAACGTCCGCAGGGCCTCGTCCGGCACCTGCGAGCCCAGGGGATGCTCAACCCCGGCCTCTGGGAGCTCTGCTGGAGCTGGAGCACGGCCGGGGCTCTGGGAGCCTCCTGCCTCCTTGGCAAGCCCGGACCTTGCCTCCGCTGGCTTCCCGGATTCCCCGAGAGAGGAACGCTCTTCTTCAGCGCTGTCCTCAGGGTGGCTCTTGAGCCACAGGTCCAAGAGATTCTCTGGCTTTCTGTCTAGACCTTCGCTTTCTCCTGGTGTGGGCTCTTCCTCTCCCGCCACGTCGCCAGACACCTCGTAGAAAAGGGGGTTGTGTGGCAGCTGATACCCGGTGTCCCTCTGCCTGCGCTGGTACGTCCGGACAGAGCTCCTTTGGGGAGCTGCTGATTCCTTTGCACTGTGATGTCCGAAGGCAAAGCTGTCACCCAGGGGGTTTGACCCACCAGCTACATCCCAGCGGCTTAAGATTGGCCAGTTCAAGCCTGACTCGAGCTGCTTTTGCTCCCAGCCTGTGGTTTGCTTTCCCTCCACTGCTGGGAACTTCTGCACGTTGCGCCTGGCGGGCGCTGGCTGCCGTGGGACAATGTTTGCCACAGCCAGGGTGCTTTGGGCATGGGGCTGCTGGCTCTGGAGACCAGCTGCCAGCTGCTCTGCCAGAAAATTGGGTTCGCTGTCCACATCCCCGGTCCAGCCCCTGTTCTGAATGTTGTGCAGCTTCACCAGCAGCTCGTCGATGGCTTCCCTTCCCTGGCTGGAGAGGTGCTGGGAGGAATACGAGTCTGCTCGGGAATCTCCCTGGCTGCCGAGGTCACTCTTGGTGCTGGCCTGCTCCCGAGCAACTGCAAGTGTTATGGATCCGTGGTGTGCTGGGGGAATGCCCTTGGGTTTGACGTACAGCACCGAGCTGCTTCTGAGTTGTCCAGACTGTGCTGCTGCCATTATTTCTGTGCGTTTCTGGGCCAGAGAACCTGTGGGAGAACATCAGGAGAGCAGATCAGCGACTCGGCGTCCCGAGCAGCTTCCTGCCAAAACACAGGGGCACAGGTTGCCCCAGGCAGCAGGCACACAGGGGGAGCACAGCCCGAGGCCTCCCAGGTCTCACCCGAGCTGCCTGCACCGGCCTTTAGGCTCATTGAAGGGCCTCACAGGGCTGGAGTTCCTCTAGAGAGGCCACCCAGGTTTAGTGTCCCTGGGACTGGCCGGGAGCCGCCAGGCTGGACCGATGCCATGGAAGTTGCCAAGGCTGCCTGGGAACCCCCAAAAGGGGGCAGGTTTGAGGGGCAATCCCCCCTTCCAGGACACCTACCACACTGGGCAGTGCTGGTGCCGCACAGGTTCTCGCAGAGGAACTGGATGGTCCTGCACGGGGTCTCGACGGTGCCACGTTCCTTGCAGAGGCAGCAGGACACGGCACGGGGCACTTTGCTAAAGACAAGAGGTTATTGGTATCCCAAGCCATGAATCCCATTCCAAGCTGGCACTCAGTCCCACCTACTCACAGTGTCTCCAGGTGGGACGCTGTCTGCAGGAGCAGGAGCAGCGTCTGTGCAGACACTTGCGTTGCACTCAGGTCCCTGCAAGGGTTGGAAGGAGCACGTTAAATTCTCAGGTGACATTGCCAGGACTCTGCTCTGAGAACAAGCCCGGGTCCCTGATGATGCTGGTGATGTTGGCAGAGGGATCCACTTCTTCCCAGTCAAACAGAAAGGATTCAAAGGATTCCACCATTTCCCTGTTTGACCTGCTCCTCCCCATGGGCTCTGCATCAGCAGGGGATCCTGCAGGTCTCGTGGGACCCTGCCAGCCATTCCAAGGCTCTAGACCTGCTCAGCCTCTAGTCCTTTCAAGCTTTTATCCCAACTCCTTGGGTCTTTGCAGCTGGGGACACACCAGAACTGCCTGGCCTTTGTCTTGCTCTGCTGCTGCTGGGGATATTTTGGCCTCCAGCAGAAAAAGGCCGGGAGAACAGGGAGATTTGCTGCTGGATCTCTGCTGTCCTGAGGACAGGGCACTGCAGAGAGACAAAGTTCTGCACCAGTCTGGTCCAAACGAGTCAGTACTTACAGATAGCTGACCGAAGGCAGCTTGAAGAACGCTGTGTCAGCAATAAGGGTCAGGGGGTTATGGCTCAGGATCCTGGAAAAACAGTGAGGGTGGATGGGAAGGACATGAGCTGTGGGGGGCAAAGCTGCTCTGCCCCTCTGCCCCTGCGGGGTCTGCTCCCTTCTGCCTTTAGACCTTGTCCCACTTACAGCTCCTGCAGAAACTGCATCCCATGCCAGGCCTCGAAAGCACCACTGGGGATCTGGGTGAGCTGATTCCCAGACAGGTTTCTGGGGACAGAGATGATCATGGAAATGAATCCTTTCCCTTTGTCTTGTAGCAGGGGAAAGTGTCACTGTTCTAGGAAATGCTCCTGTTGTTTTTAACACAGAAAGGTTCATCCATGCAAGAAGCCTTCATTCAGAACACTAGGAGGAAACTTTTATAACTCACAGATGTTCCAGAAAAGGCAGTGGCTCAAAGGCACGTTCCTCAATGGACTTGATGTTATTGCCAGACAAATCCCTGTTACGATGAGAACACAAAACATTAATTCCATTTGCACCGTCGTCTTTCCTTTCCTTTGGCACCGGCAGCATCTGTGTTCCCCAGCTCTGATCTGACCTGAGCTTGCAGGGCTGTGGGACCTGGGATGAGCCTCCTGCCCCAGGAGGGATAAAGCCCCCTTGGCCGGGCTGGGCTGAGCAGCAGGGGCCCAAGGGAGGGGGAGGCAGCAGCCCACTGTGCTTACAGGTGCTTCAGCAGGAACAGCCCTTCCAGGGAATGGCTCTTCACTGCCTGCAGCTCGTTGTCCTTGAGGATCCTGGGAGGACACAAACAGACTTGGCTACACCAGCTGCTCGCCAGGGAGAACTGGAGTTGTCATGGAAAGGTGTCCTACAGCAGCTATGCTGGAACATGGCTTTGGGGCACTGCAGGGATCATCCCCACTCATGGCTGCAGCAGGAACCTGCTCCCAGCCAGGGGAAGCTGAGTGTAGCCTGATCCCTGGGCAAACAGCCACAGCGACGATCCCGTGGGATGGGACACAGCTCATGGCATTTCTTGCCATCCTAGGAAGCCCTGAGCATTCACAGCCCTCCTTGCTGAGCAGCCCAGCTCGGAATTCCCACGGAAATGGGTTGTGTGGGTGCTCAAACACCGGACAAAAGGATGGCAAAGACCAGAATTCCCGACGTCTGAGATGCTGGATGGTACTCACAAGGTCTCAGTCCACTGGTATTCCTCCCATGTTTGCGGTCCCAAGGTCGAAATAGAGTTGCCAGTGAAATCCCTGTAAAGAAACCACTGACACCATCAGCACTCGGGAAAACCCTTTTCCCTGGAAATTCAGCTGCTGAGGTAGAAGTGGCCTTTGCCTGGAAATGCCACAGCGTGGCCAACTGGGCTGCAGCACAAGCCCCCCAGAGCCAGTCAGTCTGTGCTGCCCTGGCCCTGCCAGGCTGTCAGGAGAGTTCCCAGCCATGCCAGGCTATCGGGAGGGTTCCCAGCCGTGCCAGGCTGTCGGGAGGGTTCCCAGCCAGGCTGCTGGGAGGATTCCCAGCCGTGCCAGGTTGTCAGGAGGGTTCCCAGCCGTGCCAGGCTGTTGGGAAGGTTCCCAGCCATGCCAGGCTGTCGGGAGGGTTCCCAGCCATGCCAGGCTGTCGGGAAGGTTCCCAGCCATGCCAGGCTGTCAGGAGGGTTCCCAGCCATGCCAGGCTGTCAGGAGGGTTCCCAGCCATGCCAAGCCGAACAGGGCTCTGCAGGGCTCTGTGCTCAGTGGGCACTCACAGCATGTCCAGGGGCTGTGTGCTGGTGGCCGGGGGCACAGTGGCCAGCCCGGCGTGGCGACAGTCCAGCAGCCCCTGCCATGGGGAGCTGCAGGGGTGTCCAAAGGGCTTCCCAGCCTGAGCCGGGCACGGAGCCACTGCCAGCAGCAATGGCAGCAGGATCAAGGAGCACATGGAGCATGCAAGAGGTGCCATGGTGAACCACGATGGCCTGGGGGCACGGGGCACTTGGCATGGGGCATGACCAGGGCACTGCCAGGGCCCTGCCGTGTCACAGAGGGCTGAGTCACAGCACAGCCACCAAGAGACTGTGTCATAGTCATGGACCCACACCACAGAACCCCACCATGGACTGGCTTGCAAGGGGCCTGAAGGATCAGCCCATCCCACCCCCTGCCAGGGCCCGGGACACCTTCCACTATCCCACATTGCTCCAAATCCAGCCTGGTCAGGAACACTTCCAGGGATGCAGTAGCCACAGTTTCTCTGGAAAACCTGTGCCAGGGCCTCCCCACCCCCTCAGGGAAGGATTTCTTCCCAATACCCCATCTAACCCTGCCCTCTGGCAGCGGGAAGCCATTCCCCCTTGTCCTGGCATTCCGAAGTCCCTTTCCAGATCTCACGGAGTCCGTTAGTTACTGGAAGGGGCTGGAAGCTCTCCCCGGATCCTGCTCCAGGCTGAACAGCCCCAGCTCAGCCTTTCCTCAGAGCAGAGCTCTTCCACACCTTAGACCAGGTCTGTGGCCTCCCCTGGACTCACTCCAGCAGCTCCATGTCCTTCCTCTATTGGAACCCCAGCGCTGGAGGCAGGTGGGGTCTCACCAGAGCAGAGCAGAAGGGGACAATCCCCTCCCTCAACTTGCTCCCCACACTGCTGGGCAAGTGTGAGAATAAAATACTTTCATGCATTTCTAAGGCAATTTAATACAAAAGTACCATCTCCACCTGAGAACTTGCCCCAACAGGGGACTTACTGCATCCCATGGAGGCTGGTCCATCCAAACACTCTCCCCATGTGAAACACTGCATCTTCCCACTTGGATTTCTACAAATTCATCTTCCAGTCACTGCACTTTGCTTCACCTTCATAAGCTCAGCCAGTAGCAGCGGATTTCTCTTGCAGCAAATCCCCCCATTCTTCCGTTCTTACTTAAACAGGCAACATTCTCGCTTCAAGAGGGATCTCACATCATTCCTGTGGCTCTTCCCTGAGCTCTCTCAGTTTTCAATCACTCTTTTTTAACAAAGTGACATCAAAAACTCTGGGCAGGGGTTTGTTATCAAACAGGCATCCCCAACCTCACGACTTGGTGTGTTTGATGCCCCTTCCCACTGCCTGTGCTGCCTCCCAGGTTCACTCTCCACACCACACTGCAAAATTTGACTTAATTCAATGAACAACCTGTTTGAAATGACAATCTTAGTTCTACATAATGACAACGTCCCAACTACTTCTAGCCGGGGTTCGACACATGACAACACATTCTTATGAGACTTTGTAACTTTATTTAAAACAATTTGCACTTAGAGAAATGCTTCTTCCTGTGCCCGTGCAGAGCTGGGTCAGCCCCACAGCTCCTCCTGCTGCTAAGACATCTTCCATCTCGGACTTTCTCCCGTGGATCAGAGTGACCTGGAGCTGTACATGGCTCTTGCAGGGAGGGCTCATTCCTTTGGCTGTCCTGGGAGTGCTGCTCACATCTGCTGTCCTGTCTAAACACCAATCATGCTGGCTTCCAGAGAGAGCTGACCTGAGCTGGCTGACAGCAAAACACCTCCTCTCCAAAACCAGCACGTATCTGGGGGCTTACTTTTAGTAACACAGGGTTTATTGTCCATTTCTTTCCCTGTTGGGCATTTGGAGGAAAAGCAGATAGGGCGTTTCATGGCTCATCACCCAAACTGAGATCAGACAAAACTTCTTCTTCTTCGAGGTCAAGTTGTTCCAAGGACAATTCATTGACCTGGGAAGGGAAATCAAGAGTAAATTTCTTTTTCTAGAACATACTTGCTCTTCCAAACCATTGAGGGCCTTCCTGGGATTTTCACTCCCCCAGACTCCATGAAGAGCAGCCCTGGACACTGTCACATGTCAGATCTGTCAGGTTGCACTGTCACAGCCCCATACTCCTTGTTTTCCTGTCCCACCTACATCCCATGTGCCTTTCTGCACAAAGAGAGACAAAAACATAGGAGATTAAAAAACTTAGCCTGCTGCACAATTCCAAGATGCAATTCCTTCCTAGGATTTAAGTGGAGGTCATTGCTGCACCCAAGGAGGCTGCTGGAGGCTGTCACAGCCAGTGGGTGGAACACACAGGCCCTGTGGGAAAGCTCAATATCCACCACTTTTACCTGAACAAGCCCCTTCAGTTCCTCTTCTGTTAAGGAGTCTGTGGGCTCCTCCTGGCAGGAATTGTACTCCACGGCCACTTTCCCATTTTCTGAAACACAATGAACAGCCAGAGACGTGGTTAGTCACTGCTGTGTGGAACGACAATGAACCTCCCCTGAACCTCAAAAATGGGACAATTCTGCTTCTCTCCTGGCCAGGACAGCAACATCCAAAGGGCTGCAGTTCAGCTCCTGTTACCCCTGCCTCACATCCCCACTCAGCATGCATGTGGAGTGGCAAAAAGCTCTCCCTAACACCATTTAGACCCTTGGAATGTGGACTTTCAATGGCTTATTTATCATAAAAATATCCGTCCTCCTGTCGGATCTCCCTTCCACTCCCACAGCTCACAGGGAGGAACCCCTCTGTTAAACCACTACAGACCACAGCACGAGTTTCATTTTGCTCCCTCCAGCCCCAAGAAAGGCTCAGGGCAAAAAGAACCCCTGTCAACGGTCACAGAAGTTCTAATATCAGCCCAAACATTTCACACAACCCCGGGCCTTACCCAAGACTACGAGGAGGATCTTCTGGAAGGCCCCAGACAGAGCTTTCCCCACCGCCAGCTTCTGAGCTCTCCTCGTGGCTGTGAGGAGCTCCAGGGGATCTGAACACAAACAGCAGCACGTTACTGACCTGGGCAGGGTTCACCCTCCCTGATTTCCCTCCCTGCCCACCAAGCAGGCACTGCAGCTGTGCCCAGGACACGCTCCCGAGTGGCTGTGCCGGGGAATGGGTAACACCGTGGGCAAGAGGGACACAACAGGGACACAGGAAAGGTGGGAAGCAGGGACGGGAGAGGTTCAGGATCCCATCAACTGTGCAAAAGAAGAACTGGCCAGTGTCTGCAACAGCTTGCACTGCCCCCAAAGCCCAGCAAAGCCCAGCAAAGCCCACCTTGCCCATCTCCTACGGCTGCCTGGCCCAGGGCAACTCCCCTGCTGCGCACCCCGTGCTGGGGCAGCGTCAGCTCCAGGGCACACAGGAACTTCACAGATCCCTGCTGGGAGCTCTGTCCCAGCTCCTCATTCTCACCATCAAGGGCAGACACCTTCTGCAGCTGTTGGGAAGAGCACAGAGAATCACTTTTGATTAGAGACGAAGGGGACAGGAAGGCTTTGCCCACTTAGGCCTGTGCCTGAGAACCACACACCTTCTCTGCACAGCCTGGGGCTCCGAGGCAGAAGCAGGTGGTGGAGACAGAGCAGGGGGATTTGCTGGTTTGATCCTAGTTTAGAAACACCTCCTAGTCCCCATCCTCTGGGAGTCTCAGCCATCTCCCTCTCGGCACACAAAGAGCACTGTCAGGCCCTCTGCTGATTTAATCTCAGCCCCCCCCATTTTTACTAACAGAAGCCAAGCCAGTGCTCTCACCCATCACAACCTGCTCCCCCCAGGCTCTCAAATTCCCCATCCATGGCCCAAAACAGTCATAGCTGACTATTATTTGCTGAGTGGAGGACAGTTCTTTTCATTCTACCAACCCCTCCAATGAAGAGGGGGACGAGGGGAAGGACAACAGACGAACACGAAGGGCCCCTCACCGTGATGATGCGACTGGACCAGCCGTTAAAGCCCAGGTAGTGGTTGGCCAACTCCTGGCACTTGTTGCTGCTGAGGGCAGGGGCTTGTTGCTGAATCCCCCTCTGCTTGGGGCAAACACAAACCTGCCCAGGAGAGAAGAACCCTGCTCAGCCAGGCCCTGCTTGTGAGGCTCCCACTCCAGCCACGCCACTGACAGCTCTGGCAGAGTCACCCTCAGGTAACCTATTCCCAGCCCTGTGTGTGCTCCTGAGCTGGGTTCAATATTTGCTTGGGTTTTACCCCGGAACAGGCCCACCCTGTTATGCCAGGGGGAGGATGCTGCCACTATGCTGCTTAAATGCTCCCCAGGAGCCAGAAGCGGGGGATGGCAGCACGGTGGCAGTGCCCAGCCACAAGTCAGTAAAGGTTTTGCACCGCTGAGCTCAAGTATTTCACAGAATCACGGAACTGTCAGGCTTGAAAGGGACCTCTGGAGACCACCTACTCCAAGGCAGCGTCACCTGGAGCAGGTGACATAGAAAAGCATCTGGGTGGGTTTGGAATGTCTCCAGACAGAGAGACTCCCCTCCCTCCCTGGGCAGCTGTTCCTGTGCTCCGCCACCTTCCATGGAAAGAAGATCTTCCTCATGTTGAGGTGGAACTTGTTGTGTTTTAGTTTATGGCCATTGCTCCTCGTCCTGTCGCTGGCACCACTGAACAGAGCCTGGGGCCATCCTCTGGCACCACCTTGGTGACATTTGTGTGGATTGAGGAGAGCCCCTCTCAGCCCTCTCCAGCCTAACCAAGCCCAGCTCCCACAGTGTCTCCTCCTCAGAGAGATGCTCCAGTCCCTTAATCACCTTTGTGGCCTGTAATGATGCGATTCCACCCTGCTGGGGAGCTCGCTGGGCCGAGTCCTGCACATTTCCCCCCCTTGGGGCTGTTCTCTTACCTTCAAGGGGCGTTTCTGAAACAGCCTTTGCCCGTTGCAGGCGCACTGGGCCCTGCTGGCATCCCTGGCTGAGTAGAACTTGATGACCCCACAGCATCCCGGCCCTGCCACGGCGGCGTTGCCGCGCGCCCGCACCGAGTACAGCGGCCCGAACCTGGAGAACGCGGAGAACAGGGAGTGCTGAGGGAAAACACAGGGGAAAAAGGGGTCTTGGTACACCGGGAAGAGGCTGAACTGCTGTGACAGAGAGAGGACCACTCACAGGACCTATTTCCCTTGAAAATGAGGGATGGTTTTAGCGATGCTGGATGGCGAGGAGCTCTGCAACAAGCAGCAGGCT